TACTTTAGAATGCATCAAGACAGTAGAAAATGAGGAGATAGGATTAGAGTTGGAAATGGCAATTTCAGGACAGATACCAGGATGCGTTTCGTTCCACGCGAAGGTAATTAACAGCTGGAACAGGTTGCCAGGAAGGGTGGTGTCAGCCAGGACATTGGATTAATTTAAAAATAACATGGCTTGATGCTTTGATGGGAAGTCAGTAGGGTGGGTGTTCTGGAGGGTTGAGATCAAATGTTGCACAGGTCCATCTTCATCCAAACTAGTCTTGTGGTCTTGTAAAATCATCTCACCCTCTGAAGTGATTTTTCCTCAAGGAATAGTTTGTATCCTAGATAGACTCCCATCAAAAGTAATCAAAGCTACATTAACTAACTCACTTAAAATGAGGCAGATTAATATCTGGTTTAAAAATGAGATTGATGGTGCAAGTGAAAATGTTCCATTGATACTGTGACTCAAGTCCTGTTGGGACTCCATTTCAAAATCATTTAATTTGCAGTACTTATTGAAACTCAAAAATGGACATGGGCCTAAGTTCAGAAGGTACACAGACAGTTTAGATATAATTATTTCACATGAAGAGTGGTGAATAAATGTGTCTACCCAGTAGGGGCAGAATGTGTCAGCAAATTCAGCCCGGAATTAGTTATCTGTTTAGCGAAGAAATTGCTGGGGGAGTATGAGACGGAGTACTATATAATGATTATTTTTTACATGGGCAAAAGTCTTTCCCTGCTAAGTGAATTGATCAACTTTAGAAATTGGTGACATTTCATAGTTTCCTCCAAAGTTAGCAAATTTACCCACAATTATTTACTCTCCTGAAGCGATTATAAACTGAGAGGAATCCACAGCAGTACAAATTTTGCAAGATATGTTGGAAGAAGTGGGCTTGATGGGCTAAATTTCCTTGTTTTGTACTTTGCCTGTTCGAGATGTTATGATAGGAAGCAGCATAAATCTAAAACAAAAAAGCTGGATGCAGAGAAAAATACCATTTGATATATAGATGCAGGTGGATGTATATTTAGGAGTGAAATCGGGTAGCATTTCTTCATGCAAAAGGTAGTGGAAATCTCGGGCTCTCTCCCCCATTAGGCTGTGAATGCTGGATCCATTCAAATTTTCAGCACTGAAATGGATAGATTTTTGTTTGGTAAAGATATCAAGGGATATGTGGCAAAGGCGGGTAATTGGAGTTGAGGTACAGATCAGGCATGATCTCAAAGAATGGTGGAACAGGGCTAAATGGCCTACTCCTGTTCCTATGTTCATGCATGATATTATATTAGAGCATTGTACATAGCATATAGATGTATAAGTCCTTCCGATGTGAAAGGTGCTTTACAAATTTACTTTTGTTGTTTGTTGTTACCTATCAGGAAAGGCTGAACAAGCCTGAACTCTTTTCTCTTGAAAACAGGAGGGTGATCTAATAAAGATCTTTAAAATTATGAAAGGTTTTGATAGGATATACATAAAGAAGATGTTTCCACTTGTGGGGGAGACCAAAACCAGGGGCCATAAATATAAAATAGTCACCAATAATTCAAATAGGGAAGTCAGAAGAAACTTCTTTACCCAGAGATTGGTGGGAATGTGGAACTTGCTATCACAAGGAGCAGTTGAGGCAAACAGCATAGATGCATTTAAGGGGAAGCCGATAAGTACACGAGGGAGAAGGAATAGTAGGTTATGCTGATAGGCTTAGTTGAGGAAGGGCAGGAGGAGGCTCACGTGGAACATAAATGCCAGTATAGAGCAGTTGGGCTGAATGGCCTATTTCTGTGCTGTATATTCTATGTAATTCTATGTTGTTGTATACTCCTGTTCCTGTTATATGTAATGAAGAAATGTGCCTGAAAGTTAGAATATTTAATACTGTGATAATAAGTAGCAAGCTGAGGTATATGAATTGTGCTACACAAGGAGTGTTAGTGAAGCAGTGGGAGGGGTGTAAAGCATGGGAATTTCAATCAGGAGATCTTTTGGTAACCGGAAATATGTGATGCAGGAAGTTTGCTCAAAATAAATTGTGCCAGATGGAGTTCCCATGCAACGGCCTGATCCACTTCTGGATTCCTTAAATTTAAATTTATGTATTTCAGATCTCATGTTTGTATATTCAGTAAAAATATTTGTGATTTTTGAGTACTATTTTTGAGTACGATTTGTGATTTTTGAGTACTATTCAAAAAGGTAAAGGAGTTTCTCCCTGTGTCCTGGCCAACAGTCACTCAGATAAAATTGGTCATTGACTTCATGGTTGTTTCTGTGGGATTGCTGTATGCAAATTGGCTGCCACATTAGTCTACACAATATGCAGTCACTGCACTTTACAGTATATCCTTTATATTATATATTTATATTTACAGAAGCCATTTAGCTCACTGTCCCTCTCTGAAAGAGCTCTCCGCTCAGTTCGTCCTATCCCCCTCCTGCTGCCCCTCCCCACCACCCCCCACATACCTTCTTTATTATCCTTCAAATTCCTTTATAATTCCTTCAAAAAAATAATTTGGTCACTCCAATCCACGACTTTTTGTGGGACACTGCTGCCCACAATTGGCTGCTGCGTTTCGCCCACAAACTATACAGTCAATTCACTTTACAGTATATCCTGTGAAGTGCTTTGAGACGTCTCAATGATAAGATGCTATATCAAATGCAAGGATTGCTATTATTATCCTGTGAAGCGCTTTGAGACGTTCTTGGGATGTGAAAGGCATTATGTCAAAGACAACAACAACTTGCATTTATTTTTTAAGAAGAGGATTATTATTATTATTGTTCGCTTGAAATATGGACCCTTTTGTACAGAAATACCACTTCCTTGTTCCGGAGAAAGGGCCACAAATATCAAATGAAGCGGTTTAATAGAATAGAATTTCTCTGGCAAACTACTGTGCAACAAAGGCAGATTCAAAGTATAATTAAAACTCACTTGATTTTCTTATTCTGTTACCAGTTAAAAAATATCAATGTGTTGATTATGAGTTTTTTTTAAAAAAAATAACCAGTACATATATTAAAAATAATTGGGATATTTTAGGGGTATTTTTTGCTGTATTTCTTTCCCATTTGCTTTTCGTCTTTTGTTACATTAGTGCAGGGGTTTGTAATGAAAATATTGTGGCTTTGTAAGTTGAATTGACCCAATAGACTAAAGCATTTTACATTTTTTTTCTCTCTGTCCAGAAGCTGTTCCCTCTTTTACATGGGCCCTAAATCTGGCTTTCTCATTTCTGCTGTTCATCAATACAAAACTGATTTGACGCTGAGCTGTATAATAATAAGCCTTTCACCAGCCAGGCCTGACACTTGCCTTGTAATTAAGGCCTTGATAGTTCTGTTGATGGCAAATGAAAGAAAATGGCCTTGTTCTCATTCTGGAGAATGATTGCTGGTTCCACTACTCACCTGAATTCGACCCATTCTGCATTGTGAACATGATTGCTGAAGTGTGAGTAATTGCAGTACAGGCAGATGACATTTTCACAAAGCACACTCCCCACTATTCCAAAGGGAATTTACGGAATATTTGTCTGGGAAGCTCATCAAACACGGAACATGGATTTAAAAATGCCTGTTTTTTTAAAAAAAAGCTGGAGAGAACCTAGACAAATGCTAGCATTTTCCACCAAACCTTCACTCGAAAAACATGAATCCAATTAACTTGTTTGTTTTACTCTCTTTTTCGTTTTCTGCGAATCGATAATAATTGTTGTGAACTAACATTTAGCAAGTGTGGTACTTTCATCATGGCAATTTATACGATTATTCTGTCAGGCCACAAACCATTGTTTTGGTAGATAGAAAGAAAAATAGTCAAATGTGTTGAAATTGCTTTGCCTGGTTAACAGTGTAAAATATTGCCAATCCTTGAAACTTCAGTGAAAAAAAAGGGTTTTGAGCGAAGAAGCTAATTTATGCGGATCTGAGCTAAAGTTTCATTTGTCTCGTTTCCTTGAAGACAGTGCACAAACTAAATAATACCTGTCAGTTTGCCGTTGTGGTGTACACTGTGTCGTCTGACTGAAGAGGCTGTGGTTGCTGGCCTTGGTGCTGAAAATATGTGTGTTCATTCGAGAGAAGCAGTGGAAGAAGTCGTGTTTTAGCAGCTGAATTGTGCAAAAATAAATTAGACAGAAAATGGACCGTAGTTTTATCTTAAACATAGAAAATAGGTTTTTCTAATAATCTGCAGGATTTTTTTTTAAAAAGAACCGGTTTTCAAGAGGAAGGTTGTTGGTTTGGATACAACTATTTAGCTGATGGAACAAATGTGCAGTTCTGTGCAAAATTTGAAGAAAAGGATGTTCAAATGTTACACACAGAAAAAAAAGATGTTTAGGTGACAGAATGTAAAATGTAAATATGCTTTTGGTAAATGTTAATTATGATAAGAATTGAATGTTTAATTTTTTAAAAAATGCAGCGTAATATAATTTTACTGATTACTTCAGAGAATATCTTGTGTTTGTATTTCATTGTGCATACCAAACAAAGTAAAATTACTTTTGCAGGCAACTGACTCTCTCTCTCTGTCTGTCTGTCTCTCTCTCTCTCTCTCTCTCTCCGAATCTGCAATGGTTCTGTGTTAGCTATTAGGAGAGTTATGGTAGAGAGGCTCTCCAGTGGATGCTGATTTTAGCTGATTATAAACACTGTGCCAGGGCCCCAAGGATCCCTTCATTTTCCTGACACACTTGACTGCTGCCCCATTAACACTTTGTCTGTTATTGCAATATACCAATTTTAATTAGTATCATTGAATGTGGAGCTTGACGTAGAAATAATCCAGTGAATATACTGTATCTATATATATATTTAAAAAAACACAAAAATGTTATTACTTTTGCCACCATCCCTTTTAACTGGTAGCAAAATATTTATTTTTTATTTTTTGAGTATCCCCTTTCCTGTTTGGCTTCTATGTTTCCCCCCTGTTTTAGATGTGATCTTCTCACACTTTCCACAGAAAATGAATTCAAAAGAAAATTGGTGAACCGGCAGGCCAGCGCCAACAGCTTCTGTGACAAGCTCAGAAGAGCAAAGTGTGGACCAAAGAATAATCACATCACCAAACCATTTCAGGTACAGAACCTCCAAATTAAGGTTTAATTTGGAGACGTTGGGCGATGTGGGGGAGGTGGGCAGGTGGGGAGGGGGGATATAATCTTTACCTTCTTCAGTTCTTTCATGATTTTTTTTTTAATGATTTTGAACAGCAGCGCTATGATCTGCACCCTCTTTCCTGAAGTATTCAAAGCAGTCAGGATCTGTGTTGTTTTGCATTCGCTGTCATCCGATGATTTATGGGTAAAAAATGGCCCATTTGCAGTTCGATTAGGTGATGCATCTGGTTCTCTGTTTGTTACAAAATCACACACCTCTAATCAGAATGAGCCTTTGCAGAGAGAGCCATGCAGCATTTAGTAAGAAAGGGAGGAAAGCTAAATCGTTCAACCAGAATAAGATGAGGAGGGGATAAACCGTATGCCTCCCATTGAAGTGTTTTTTTNAATATTAAAAAATTGACCACAGACACAGACTGTCTGTTTCCAGATGCAGTTGGTGTACCTATATCTTTTTTTTGTTCAGAAACAGATCTTTGGTCTGAGGTTGCTAGGATTATTTTAGTTAGGATTTCTTTGGCAGAAATTTGAATTGATTGTTCATTCCCCCGCCCCCGCCCCCCCCTCTAAAAGTTAGCTGAATTGATGCCTCTGATGCAGCATTGCAAACAATCTTGAGGAAAAAAACTAAAGCCAAAAGCCCGAAAAAGTGCAATATTCAAATTCATTGGCAGATCAGCAGTCAAACGGTTAACAGAAATCACACAGGCTTATGTATGAAAAAGCAATGTAACATTTCTGTTGGTAGACAGGAAAATCCCAAGCAATACTGCATAGTGGGGCAGTTGCACAGGCATTCTTGCAATGTAAATAATGTCTGTAATATTAAAACATTACCAAATTGCATTGAAAAGAAGGATAGAGGAAAGAGGGACTGCACGTGATCTGAATAAATTATTTGCTGTGACCCAGGACATCAAGAGCATTGCAGAAAGGGCTTCTCTACATAATAATATAATAATAACCCTTGTATTTGATATAGCGCCTTAACACATCGTTGAGACGTCTCAAAGCGCTTCACAGAACATATTGTAAAGTTAATTGACTGTATTTTGTGTGCGAAATGCGGCAGTGAATTGTGCATAGCTGTGTCCCACAAACAGCCGTGGATTGAATTGCCAAATAACAAAATGATTATAAAAAATTATTACAAAACAATTATAAGACATACATGCACTGAAGTTGAAGTCTCTTTCATATGTGGTACAACAAAAATATATTTGCTGTGTATTTTCTAAAAGTGAATGCATCGTCATTGATCTGTCCATCCCTCTGTCTCTGCTTCTCGATCACTCTGTCTGTTTCTCAGTCTCTCTCTCTCTCTCTCTCCCACTTTCTGTTGTACATTTTCAGTTGAACTGTTCAAAAAAAGGATGGAAATAATAATGCATTGCCTAATATACTCACACTGATATATTTTCAGTTTTTTTAAAAAAGAGACTACTCTTTAGCTCAATGGGGGTCTAGTGTATTCTGTGAGATTGAATATTTTTAGCAGGCATCCTGTGATGGCTACGTGGGTAAATCCCCTGCACAGTATGGTACTGAGCCAAGCAAATACAGGAAAGTCCCATGTTCCAGTTATGTTGATTCAACCACTCTCAATTTGAATGGTAGTTCGAGCGCCACCAAATCTCAGCACCTTTGGAATAAAGAAGCAGGGAGTGGTGAGGGGATAATTGATCAGGGTTTCTGTTCCCAGTTGCAGCTCAACAATAACACAGGTGGAAATGCACAGCGAGCCAATCAAGGTCTGAAATAAATGACTCAGTTAACGTGTTTGGATGTGATCCTTCAGCAGAGTGGGTGCTATTAATTAATAATAATAATAATCCTCGCATTTGATATAGCGCTTATCATGTGTTCGAGTTGTCTCAAAGGGGTTCACAGAATGTAAAGTGAATTGATTGTATATTTTGTGGGTGAAATGCGGCAGCCAATTGTGCACAGCAGTGTCCCACAAACAGTCGTAGATTGAGTCACCAATTTGTTATTATTTTATTTTTTGAAGGAGTTACTAGCTCTGGAAAAGTGATCCTCCAATCGACTAACAACCGGGTTACTACTTACTGCTAGGTAACAGAGGGATGTGGAGTAAGGAAATTTGCCCAACGATTCGCCCTGCCGAGAATTGAACCCAGGTCTCTCACTTGCGAGGCAAGTGCTCTAAACACTGAGCTACAGGACTCCACGCTAATGCCTGCTGAAAGGCCACAAGCAATCAGCTACCTGCCAGCACACGTGAAGAGTTAATAGTTATTTATTCGCCCACAAAATACACAGTATATCCTATGAAGCGCGTTGAGACGTCTCAACGACATGAATCCCATTTGCAGCTTTCAGGATCAAGGAGCCAGTTGGAGAAAAATATAGGAACAACTGTTTAAGGTTAAAGAAGTAAAAAACTGTTTTGAATATAAATAAACTTAAAGCTGATGGCTCATGTCTCTCAAAAGTCCCCAGCTCCTCAACCACCCCCTTCGCCCGTATTTCTTGGGGAAGAAGATATGATCAATGAATTTGCAATGTACACATGAGATGATTCTCTCCCAGAAGGCTCGTTGAAAACTCTGGCGCACCGACGTGAAAGGGTGACAGAAATAGATTTAAAATGCACGATGAATATTTATCTGGCAGCACAAAAACTGCACTTTGCACTGCTGAATAAAATAGGTAAAATATTGCCTCCGGGCAAAGCGAGGCACTGTGCAGCAGTGTGAGCTCCGACAGGCTGCCAGAGAAGAACACTCTCAGCAAGTGCACCTTCCCTGTTTTTTAATACTTTTTTTTATTTTGTTGCCCTATTTCCCTTCTCAGATTTGTTTTCCTTACACTGAGTACATTGCTTCGCTGAGAGGATAGAGAGGAGACCAGGTTCCTCCATGCAAATGCTGCTCCATCGCCTGCTGCAGTCAGTGTACGAGAGAATCCTGGGATTAATGAGGGTCTAATTTCTTCCCTTCCTGTGGGGAAACACCTGTGTCTGCTCAGCACATCACTGTGGTAGCACATTCCAGATCAGAACTCCCACTAATTTGGGACTCCTAGATTTTAAACCAGTGCCCTAACACCGATCACTAGCACGTTTAAAACGATTCCAATTTTAATTTCAGATCCGACCAATATTTCTGCCATATTTTCTCTCCTCCCGCTAAGATGGTTGGAATCAGGAATTTTCTGCGCGAACTATTGATAAGGCGACATGTGCTTAAGTCGATTTAAAAAAAAAAGGAATTAGGTAGATCCTTGAAAACAAAAGGAATATTGAAGGCTATGGGGAATGGGCAGGAGAGTGGGATGAGACGTGATGCCCCATGTGGAGTAACATGTTATGGTACTTACACCACTCGTTCACCTCTGAGGATTCTCCTAAGACACTGTTCTTTGTTCAGAATCTAGGAGGGGTAAGAGTGAGGCCCGGAGAAAGGCGTCATTTTGACATCTCTAAATTTTCCCCCTTTCCCTATTTGGAAAATGGCTGTCTACCATCTGTCGAATATCATAACCACTATGTCTCTGTGACCAGAGCTCTCTCTGCTTCCTTGTCCTTCTTAACCCATCTGTGGTTTTCAACACCTCTCTGCGGCTTTCAACATCATTTCATCTTCCTTGATCGGCTCCACTTTGTTTCCTCCAGGGGTTCTTCTTCTGCCCTCGTACGGTCATCAGTGGTGTCCCTCAGTGCTCTCTCCTCAGCCTCCTCCTTAACCTCTTCCACATGCTTCCTCTTGGAGACATCTTCTGCAGGCATGGGGTCAACTTCCACATGTATGCAGATGACACCCAAATCTACTTTCTTTCTTCTAGTTGTGGTGTTCTGTCCACCTGCCTGTCAGACACCAAGGCCTGGATGAACACCAACTTTCTGCAGCTTAAAATGGACAAGACAGAAGCCATCCTTCTTGGCTCCCACCAATATCTCCTCACCAGGCCCCATTGGCTGTCTGTCTCTGAATCAATCAACTTTAAGATCCTTACTCTCACATACAAATCTCTTAGCACCTCCCTACCTCTCTGACCTCATCATCTACTCCTCTGCCCATCCCCTTCATTTAGCTGACATAGGCCTGCAGTATATCCTCGACTCTTCCACGTCACCATCTTCAGCCACTATGCCTCTAATTTCTGGAGCTCCTTGCCTTAAATCCTCCGGCTCACCCACCTGAAAACCTATCTCTTCGATCATATCTATGGTTACCTCTCTTCTTCTCCCACAAAATATACAGTCAATTTACTTTGCAGAATAACCTGTGAAGCTCTTTGAGATATCTCAATGACGTGATAAGACACTATATTGAATGCAAGGATTATTATTATTATTGTTTTACCTCCCCCTTCCCCATCTTCCTTGCTCAGCGTCCAGCCCTGCTACTGTGCAGTGCCTCAAGACGTTATCCTATGTGAGGAATGCAATATAAATACAAATTGGTGTTTGGTTCTGCTCCCTATCTCCCACATTTCAGATGGGAGCTCAGCAGTGTGGCAGATCAAACCTGCATCCTGGTTCTGTGAGTCAGTACTCACAACACCCACCACAAGACTTCATCTTTAGAGTAATTAATGCTGGCATTGGAGCTGTTGTAGCACAAAACAAAGTTTTGAAAACTCAATGAGTGAACTAATGTCCAAATAGCATTTTTTTATATAAAAAATATTCAGGTACCTAAGTTCTTTGGTTGCATGCACTCTCATCCTCTGCGTGCACTTTAAACTTAAACTTTCATTCAAATAAATACTTCCATGACCTCAGTGCAGTCACCTAATGTGTTTGTCTCTGTCGTCATCTAATGTGGTTTAATTAACATTGGAAGTTAGTGGAATGAGGGCAGAAATTTACTCCCATGCATTCCTTCAGAACCAGGAGTACTTCACTAGAATTGTAATGATAATTAGCAAAGAAGAAGGCACTGTGTTGTTGGAGATGCCTTCTTTTGGAAGAGACATTAAACTAAGGTCCCA